ACAGTTAAGGATGCTTTCTATCACAACCTACATGAGCTTCTTCTCAAAGCTCCCAAGACGGATATCGTGATCCTGGCCGGAGACCTAAACGCACGAGTTGGTCGTCTGTCACCCGATGCGATTCACCTTGGTGGCCATCAAGGCCTTGATAGTTATCGTTCAGATAGTGGGGATAGACTTCTTAGCATATGCTCAGAACACGGTCTGTTCCTCGTTAGCACGAACTTCAGACACTCTAAGCGTCACCTCGCCACCTGGCCTAACCCCTCTTCGGCACAAACGTGGAGTCAGATTGACCATATGTCTATTAGCTATAGATGGAGAGGGTGCGCGAAAGACTGCGGTTCGTATTGGGCTACTTGCTTGGACTCCGACCACGCACTGGTTCGTGCCAAGTTGACTATGCTATTTGGTGGCCGCAAAAAGGATGCGATGCAAACAGCTCGACATCGTCAAGCTCTCTGACCCGGCCGTACTAGCCGATTATCAAAACGAGTTGGCCGCAAGGGTAACTGCTACCTCACCAAGTAGCGTAGATCAACACTGGACAGCCATCCGAAACGCAGTGCACTCAATCGGTTTACACAGTTTGGCCTAACCCGCCGAGTTGTAAATCACTGGGTCTCCTCCAACACTCACACTCCTCGACGCGCGTCGGGCAATCCCGGCAGGCCACGAGTACAATGAACAGCGCCTCTCCTTGAAGTGTAAACTCACAAAGAGTTTGAGAGACGACCGAGGCCTGGTGGACGCTACCTGCAAAGGAGATGGAATCAGCGGCGAGGTGTGAAAACACCCGACAACTCTCACAACTCATCCGTGCTACAGGCCCCAAAAGACAGTGCGTAAGTGAAACAATCCGCGAAGTAGATGACACGCTAATAAACAGTCTGCATCGATGTTTGGAACGCTGGGCAGAGCACTTCACAGTGAAGTTTAACCAGCCCCCCGCGCTGGCTTCCCCACTCAGTTCTCTTGACAGTGCCCCCTGGTCAATTTACACGGGACCGCCCACAGATGCGGAGATCCGAAAGGAACTCCAAGCCCTGAAACGCCACAAGGCAGCTGGATCAGATGGC